CTGCAGGCTTCTATTATTCTTGGATATTCTGTTATGTCAAGTGTTAGGAGGATACTTTTTATTCATCGACCTGGATTGTGTAATTTTGTTTGCTATGCAAACTCCATTTGTTCTTTCTAGTTTATTCCAGTAGTTTTATTGAAGCATTTTGGCCAGGGTTCCAGCTAGAAATCAGTTCTCTGTCAGCACACATCCTTTTAAAATGGTGAGGTTGCTTTCTCATCCAGAGGTAATTCATCATTTTTCTTGGCTTTTATAGCCCTATCACTCACATGCTTCACTTTTGCAGAGGCCAGTACTCCTCAAATTTCTGCTATAGAGTTTTATAATTCACTTGCCCTGCTTTGTTCAACTGGAAATTATAAAACACAGCAGGTGTTTCAAAATATCGGTTACCTTTTGTAAGGGAGCAGGTTATGGAGCCATGCGTCAGGTTAAGGGTGAGTGGACTTCAGCACTGTGTGACAGACGTGTTGTAAGGCAGCAGATGAGGGTGAAGGAAACCTGAAGCACATAGGGTGAGGGGTGCTGGGTTTGGGTATGGAATATGGTACTGTCAGTCTTGAGAGACGAGGGAAATGGGCATGCAGAAGGGAGTGGAAGGGGATCAGGTTGAGGGGGTAGTTGTCTTTGGAGGGTGGTGTGTTTTTCTCTGCAGTGCAGTTTAGCAACATCACCATGCAGTAAATACGAACATACCAACCCGAGGGTCAGTACTGAGAGAGATTGCCATCACTGATCCAGAAGCCCAGGGAATCTATTTATTTCATTCATTTTACAAATCAGAGCTGATCAGGCCCTAGCTTAGTTGGCCTTTTTTGGTTTTTTGCTTGTTTGCTTTGGGTTGTTTGGTGTGGTTTTTTTTCCCCCTAAGATCCAGTTCCTACGACATAAACTGCATTTGATGGGTTTTAGGGTAGTTCTCTACAGTGAATCCATCAGGCTTTCAATGCACAATGTCTTTCACAGTGGTTCCATACATGTCTACATGAGTAGGCTTAAGCAGCTACAATCCCCATGATAGAGCTGGAGGCAAATGATTGGGCTTCTAGGTAAATCCTGGCCAAAGCTGTGCAAGCTGAACAGGCTCGGGAAAACTGGACATGACGTGAGAAATGGTAGAACATAAAAAGCTGTGAGAATCTGACAAGAGTTACAAACAGCACCATGGGGAATAGCTGGACCTCACAGGTGGTTAAAGCAGAATTATATGAGAAACAGCCAAAATCCATAGGTAATTGGACTGGTGCATTAGAGACCTTTAGGGGTGCAGAGTCTTGCAAGGCCAACAGCACCCACATAACCTTATAAATAACACCATATAAGATAGATTTATGATAATGTCACTCGTTTTACCTTCATGTCATAAATGCCAGAAAGTCTCAATCCATCCCGGTCCTTACCAGTACTACATGGAATGTTTATTCATTAGTGTTCTAGTTTGAATCAGAAGCATGGTTTAAGGTAGAGCCTCCTGATCATTCCCAAGGACTGGGCCATTACTTACAGTGAGCAGAGATCATGGGGCATGAACCAACTCCTCTTCCACATAACTAAACTGAAGCTGGGCTCCAGGAAGGCTCTCTGACTTCTTAGGGAACTCCGTGCAACTAGGCTACAACTACCAGGAGACAAAACCCATTGAAGTGCAAGAGAAGGGGTAGTGCTATCATCCTAATTATAAGTAGTGTGGATGTCAGCTTCGCAGCGCTGACTTTGGGGGCTTTCTGGTGTTTTTTAAAGGACTTTTGAAAAAGCAATATGGAAGAAACTTTGAACATTTACTAGGATATCACTTTATAACTGTTAAAACTTAATTCTGTTGAAATACTTCATGTCAAATTATTCTGGAAGGTGCAATCGTATGGGTTTTTTTTTCCCCCAGAAACTGAAAAGCATTGTAGCATCTCATGAGAGTGTTATTTTATGTTCTGGTGCTGCGGACATTTCAATGAGATTTTAAGTGATAAGTTAAAATGACAAAGATACTTTAACTGTGAAGATAAAGATATAGTGTGTCCTGCTTATCTTAATTTTTACTTTTTAGTTGAAAACAATTATCTCAATTTTCAACTTTTAAAAATAAAATCATAGCTCACATTTATTGAGTTATGATTTTATCATCCTCTGCAAAATGTTGACTTATCATGGAGTAAGATCTAGGGCTGTGGGGCTATAGGATGAAACCATTGTGTGTTTGTGAAAAATCAGTAAGTCCTTGGGGCTGGATCTTCTATTGTAGATAAAAAGAACTGTATGTGTATTGTTTAAAGCATAGCATTGTGTAGATATTTTTGGTTTCAAGCAATGGTGTAAATTAGGCAAGGCTAAGGCAAGTGAATTAATGGAGAATTAAGTAAGAATTGTAATCTGTTGATACAATTTTTAGATATAATAAAATCTAAAAGTTCATAAGGTATTTTAGTATATATGGAAGGCTACAACCTCTTAGCCAATTTTAAGCAAATTAGTTTACTTTTTCTGTGATTAGAGGGTAGATTTAGATGAGGTATTAGGAAGAAATTCCTTACCGTGAGGGTGGTGAGACACTGGCACAGATTGTCCCAAAAAGATGTGGCTGTCCCATCCCTGGCAGTGTTCAAGGCCAGGTTGGATGGGGCTTTGAGCAACCTGGTCTAATGGAAGATGTCCCTGCCCATGGCAGGGGGGCTGGAACTAGAAGGTTTTTAAGGTCCTTCCAACCCAAACCATTCTGTGATTCTATGATTATGTTTTCTGTCTATAAAAAGTAGATATATATACATTCTTCAAAATTAATTCTGAAGTTTTCAACTCACCATTTCTTCAGCATTATTTATTGCTATCTTCTGTAGTATTGACATAATTTTTTCATTATGTTGTCACAGCCAATGCCATTAATATGATCACTATTTTGTGTCTTTGCTTCTTATGTAGAGGTAACTACTATGAATATGTTTTACGATTTACATTCACTATCTCAAAGCCTTGTGTAAAAAAGTGGATTGATATTTTAAAACATTACTTTAACATAAAGCAGGATTTTTAGGCTTACTTTATAGTTGGAAAACTGGGACTCAGAGATTGCCAAGATAAATCTACGTGAGGTGAATCACCATCTTAACCAGTGTACACTAGATTGTATAGGTACTGTGTATAAGAATTGGAACAATTCAGACCTTCTGTCTCCAATAGAAGTACTGAGGAATACTTTATTTTAGTGATACTAAAATGTGCAGCCTTCAGATAGTCATTATGTAGCTTATAGACTTTAATAAACATTTTTTAAAGTGCTCCAAAATGTTAAATGGGTCTTTTTTTTTTTTTTTTTTTTTTTGGTGAACAACTAAGATTCAGACAGATTTGTGCAGCTTTTCCATTATGCATTTAATGTTTCAGCACTTGCTTCTAGAGTATTTAGCATGTTTTTACTGTGCTGATTAAAATCTGTTATAGATGATAATTATGCTGATTTTATCATTCAAGCACTCAAAATTGATTTTTAGATCTCTAAGTGGCTTGTACTAGACTTTTATTTCTCTAAGGGTTTAGAAGTCTGCTTATTTCATGTCCTTTTGTCATGTTCTCTGTAAATGCTAAATCAGTGCAAAACCAGTAGATTCCCAGTTCTAAAAAAAAACCCACACACTTTTTTTGTAGGAGGAAGAACTAAGGAAAAGTGGAGAAGCCAAATACGCGCACTTGAGTGATGAGCTTCATGTATTAATTGAAGTGTTTGCTCCACCTGGAGAGGCGTATTCTCGTATGAGTCATGCCTTGGAAGAAATAAAAAAATTCCTCGTTCCTGTAAGTGGCTTATAGCATTCTTCTGTGACTGGTTACGGTTTTGCTGCATTGAACTTGTGCCTTCTTTAAGCACCTTTAGATCAAGCGGAAGAACAAAACCCAACATTTTGTTGAGTATTTGTCTTTCATTCTTTCATCTCAGGTAGATGCCAAACTGGCCATTAATTGTCACGGTTGATCCCCGATATATTTTCTAGGTAGCATATTATTTCCATTTGTCTTTGGTGGTTTTGTTTTTTTTCTTTTTTTTCTTGGTTTTTGAAGGGAAGGGTGATTTAGTTGTGTATTTTTTCTGGTTGCAGACATTAGTCATTAGTATGTGCGTGAGTACACTTTTGAGATTTTTGAACATTTAAGTAAAAACCATTATGTATATCTAATGATTTATCTAAGTATCTTGCTAATGAAGTTAACTAATTTCTTGTGGAGCAAACAGCATGAATAAAATCTTCCTCAGCTGATTCTGTTCAGACATTTTGTCATGACTCAGACCACAGTTTAGCAATCCTTCATCAGCTAGGAGAGTGCAGAAACATTGTAAAGCTGGGAACCTTTTCGCTTTGATTTATGCTAAGTAAATCACTGTCTGAAATACTTACCTTTTGTCTGTTGATTTACCATCAAACTTACTGAAATTTATTTTCTCCACATTTATACAGTATACTATGATATCTTCATACTTGGTATTTGTCCTAGAATTTAAGCATATGCATACTAAATACTAAGTAAAATTTATTTTGTGTAGTACTAGAATTACATGAGTTACTATCTGAGGTCTACCCTGTTTAGCACTCTAAAAAGGTTCAGAACTTTCATCCCTTAAAAAAAGTATTGTGGAAGCTTGTTTCTATTTGTAATTAAAAAAATGCAGTGCAATAACTGTTCATATCTCTAAATAATAATGGAAAGATTCAGTGAATGCCAAGATAAGAGAGGTGAAGCATACACGTTTTCATGGCAGAACTTAAATGTTTTATTTGGTGGGGGCTTCTTGGCAGGGGAAAAAGAGAATACATTATGAGTACAGTATTTAAGTACTGTTACATTTTAAATGTTCACATTTTTTAGAGCAGCTACACTTTTTTTTTAAGAATAAAAATAAAAAATAAGTAACTTAAAATTGTCAAAAATAAACAGCTGGATATTTGTTTAAAATAACAAAATTTATTGGCACCAAGTGAGAGCCTATAAATGAACTACATTTTAAACAAGTTGACTCTATCTTTCTGGTTTTACCCTTCTATCCCCTAATTATATTTCCAATTTTGGAACACTGGTAATAAAATACTGTTTCAAATTCTGGGAAATAACCATAAGACACAAAAACTTTTTTTTTGCGATTTCTGACTCTGTTTTGAACATCCAATATGAGGAACAAATTAGGTCAGTGTTGTAATGCTGGCAACATAGCATAGGATCCCATTTTGGCTGCAGGTTAATGGTGAAAATTTGCCAAGCCATAACACTGAAAGAAAATTTATAGTTAAATAACATGTTCCTGAGAAGTCTGAAGTGTTATAGCTAAAAATGGTAACAGGGCTAATTACAAAGATTCCCAGTCTCTGTCCTTTGGATAACCCTATTTCCAGTTGTTTGTGACTTTGCCAAACTTTAATTTGTTTCTGTAAGAGGCACCTGTTTAAAGTTATCTTTGTACGTCCTCTTCATTCTGGAAGACATGTCCTGAATTATAGCTGATGCAGTGGTGATGGTACCTGTTCTATGCTCCCTGGATTTTTAACACCATTATGTACTCTGCCCAGCCTGAGAAGATCTGTTCTGGGTGAATAAGGGGGAGAGAGAGCAGTGTGTGATGAGAGCGGTGTTAGAATTCCTGGCATGTTGCTGTTGTAGACATTCAGCATCTGTGCAAGCATACATTTTGTGTGACATATTATGTATTGGTAAGGATTATATGTATTTTCCAGCACAAGTATAATAGATGCATTGGAAGAAATATAAAACCAAGTTCTTTGTTACAAGATTTTGAACCTGGTTGGCAGCAGCAATAATCACTCCAAAGAAGTAACAGTTTTTCTTTATGACTTGTTTGTTAGTTTTATCCCCTCTGCTTCATTTCAGATTTACAACAATTTACAATTAACTGGCTGGTTGCAACATGTGTCAAGGGATTTGCAGTCAAAAAGCTTGCACTAGATAATTTCCTTTTTGTTCCCTATTTACAGCGTCTCTTGAATTTGTCTTGTGATGTTTTGCTGTTTATAAGACCTAATTTATTGCAGCAGTGAATACTAGAATTGCATGACAGGCATGAAAGCAGTAGAATCTAACAGTTTTATTTATAACAAATCAAGGATGCAATAAACCATTGTAATGAATTTTGACATTGCTTATGAATTTTATGAAGTTTAAGTGAAATATTGCCCTTAGAAATAACACAGATTGTGTCAGTAAGATAGGAAGAATGCTTTTATACTTTATCCATAAGTTTTAATGAAACTGAATTTTAAAATAAATGCCTAGAAAACTTAATAATAGAAAAAAGAAAAAAATGTAGAATAGGCTGGAGGGGGAAAAAAAATAGTGTTTATTAACTGAAGGAAAGATTTAATGAACAATTACTTTTGATTTCAGTGCATTTACTTAGTTTTCACCTGTGACCTTGCCCAAGAATAGTATCAAAATTCTTCCTAGTGAAGATTTCACCTCCAAGCCAGAGGTGGAAACTAGGCACTGCTGTTTACACTGGCTGTTCCACATGTTAACACATTTCAAAACTGGAGGCAGCTTGGTCTCAGTTGGTGCATTAGTATCCCTCTAACAGGCGTATCTGTGAATAATTGAACCCCCAATTTTATTTTTATGTTACTTTTACTATAAAGATTCCAGTGTAATCAAAGAGTGACAGATCAAAACACCTTTGATTAAGTAAATAGGACTAATACCTTGAAGTTCTGAAACACAACTGCCTGCTCAATTGTGGTTTTTGGGAAACTAGGAAAAATAACAATCAAAATGTGCTCTCCCAAGTCAAGGATTCAGGCTAAAGACCAAACTTGGAACTGACGTTAACGCAATCCAGTAAGTTACCAGTATTAGCCATGTGCAAGGTACAAACAGTAGGGATGCTTAGAAGGAGAACACGTTTTGCACATTAATCTCTGTGGCCAGCACAGATTCAATAAAATTCGTAGGTATCTGACTGCCAAGCGCTTCTGACTACAAACTGCCAGGGACCTAGGTCTAGGTGAGGAACCTAAGGATGGTGTTATGTCTTAGTGCCTCAGAATGGGATGCAGGGTCAGCAAACTAGATGGGGAGGTGTTTAAAACGCCAATATGGAGGAGAAATAGCTTAGAAGCTTTACAAGCTCTGCTGATTTTAAAGGGTTCATAGCAATTAAATGCTGCAAAACTTTCTTCATCATTAATGAGCAATGAAATGCCACTTCATTCATATCAGACTCAATTATAGCAGTTTGATTTACATCTAAATGTACAAATATATATTCTGAACGAGCTATGATTTCCATACAGTAAGGGGCTATACCATCTTTAGGTGTTTGGTGCTTCTTAATGTATGCAGAATGTTTTGCTGATAACTATTTTATCCCTTTAAGCAAAGCATTTTTATCTGACATGCTTAACATCCCTTGGGACGAGGAGGAAAGCAGATACTGATCATTCATTTTATGTGTGAGTGCTCTGTAACAGGGAGCTATTATGCAGAGCGCAGGTTGCAGCTGCGGTGACATGACCACTTTAAAAAGGTTGTTTACAACTGTGCGGTCAGAAATTGAACCAATTACACTTCAAGAGCTGCTGTTCAACTTATTTACATGTATTTTCATAGCCATTTATATCTGCTTTAAATTGAGGCATATTAGCACCACTCAAGGGCTGGGAATAAACGAACAGTCATTTAATGCAGTCCAGTTGATGGACACTTGCTTGTGATCATCTGCCTGCATACCTCGTTATTTTCTGAGCGTGTTTATCAGATTCCTTTATTAGGAACTAGTGTGATGAGGCAGCAGGTGAATGCAGGTTTTTACGTTGTTGTTGTTGTGAATGTAGGCTACAGTGTCTTCCAGGCTTTCTTGTAGATGCCTATCTCTTGATAAGTCATTAACTTTAATCATTTTATCTCACCTTGCTCCATACCATTGATGAAAATAGTTTTCTTACCAGTCATTTAAGAATAAGTGTTCTCACTGATCCAGCTTCCAGCATCATCTCTTCACTCTTCCTAGCTAAAAATGGATGATTACTGAGGAAAAACAGCCTTTCAGTGATTTTTATTATTTCATACAGAAAGTTCTTTGTACTAGAAATATGTATGAAAAGACTGAGATTTGATAGGATATGAAAACAAACCTTGATACCAGTTTGTTTCAGTTGGAACAATTAAACAATCTTAGAGTTCAATCCCTGGAAGATCCTTCTCTAACTAATGTTTCAAAAAAAATTCTTTTACTTCAAACATACATTTACTGTATAAATAGTAATTTATATATACTACAAACCACAGTTCCTAATGATCTGTTGTGCCATGTTGCACTGACTATATTGTAGTATATTCAGTACACAGTAACATTTTTTTGCCAAAACACAGTTTTGACAGGTTTATAACAACTGTATATAGGTATATGACATTTATTTTGCACATTTTTTATTATCCATCTGAATTTCTTCTATGCTACATTATAATGTGAAATCTCTATTTACATACCATTTCACACTCCGTGGTTTTGTAATCTTCTGTTTTTAAATAGTTATATTACTGACAGGGGGTTCAGTCTTATTTGTCCTCTTTCAAAGAACCTCAGTAGGCAAAATCATAGAATCATAGACTGGTTTTGGTTGGAAGGGAGCTTAAAAATCATCTAGTTCCAACTCCTGTGTGCAGGCAGGAACACCTTCTGCAAGATCTTCCACAAAGCTTCATCCAGTCTGGCCTTGAACACTTCCAGGGACAAGGGTATCCACAGCTTCTCTGGGCAACCTGTGCCAGTGTCTCACCATCCTCATAGTAAAGAA